TTAGAGATATGATAGCAAAAATAACTACATATCGTAAGAGTTTTGAAGCACCTGCAACAATTATGCACATACCTCTGACCATCACTGGATTTTCACCAACTACTGTTTGTATGATCGTTTACACGGTTCCTTTTGAACTGAAAGTAATTTCCATCCATAGGAAGAAAATTAATCTTTTTTACCATAATTAAAGTTAAAATGTTAACATTTGTGCAAAGGTTATTTATACAGCCATAAAGATATTTGGTCCAGGTACCAAGAAGTTGGAAAAAAATAATAATGTCAGCAACAGCGTCAGTCATTTTTTTCCACTTAATATGAAAGGGAAGCCGATAGTTTCTTTGGGATAACAGCAGTTAAACAGGGAAATAAGTTATTACCTAGAGACTGTGCATGTTTTGTGAAATATGCCATGACATTTGGAAATTAACTTTTAATGTTAGAACTATTTGAGCTCTTCATCCGATTATTTCAGTATGAATATAATGTTGTCCATCTGCTGACTTAACTATACAAAAGCTGCTTCAAGGGAAGAGGGGAAAATGGATAAGAAAAGAATCTTTCAAATGAATTGTAAAGTAAAATAAGTTGATGTTTTGAAGCCTGGGCTAAACAGGAAGAATATGCCTGAATTGTTTGCTACTTCAGTAACTTACTCTGAAGCGTCTGTAGCTGTAGATTTTAATTGCCTTTGCATATCATTCCTTGTGGGATGGCTCTTGTTGTGCTCCTGAATGCTACAAAACTTTTTGAGAAGTACTGCCGGCTGAGACAGTTGAAATAGGCGTAGTAAGGGTTAGTACTAATGATCAGTCTAATCCCGTGACCTCAAAGATGGGAAAGCAAAACAACCCTGAGATTGTTTTAAAGATGATTCCCTTGTCTTCCGTTCATCTTCTTCCACTTTCTTCTAATCCCTTGTGACCTTTACCCTCCCTGAGGGTTTTCACAGGAAAACCTGAAACAGAGAGACCTCGGTACTCAATGGGACCATCGTTTCCTATTGATAAAAGCTGAAAACCTTCAAATTCCTTTCCGTCCCTGGATTTTATTTTGCATCCAAAAACAAAACAAAGGAAAAGGATTTGTAAGCATAATTTAATTCTCACTTCTCCCGAGGTCTCCTGATTTGCAGCTGGAAAACTAAAGGACTCATACAGCTGTCCAGGGTGCACAGAACTACTTTGCTATTTCCCCTACTCAAGCAACAGGACTCCTAATTCTAGCTCTTTTGGGCTTCATTTGGAACACTGAGTTTAATTTAGAGGTAAATTGAATAAAATCTTAGAGTAAGGGCAAAGGGAAAAGGGAATACCAATCGTTATAGGAAAGACAAATTGCAATCACTTAGAAAATAAGACAAAGAAATCAGAATTCCCGTTCTTTTGAGAAGATCTGAAAACAAGGGAAAGGAGTTTGTGATGAAAGAAAGAGGCAAGTGTTAGAAACAAGAAGCTATCCAAGTTGTAATAAATAAATAAGTTAGTGAAGAACAAGATAAAGTTGGCTACAGTTTTCACTTACAGTGTTCATTTCTTTCTCTGTTTAAAGTTATCCCTGGCAATTAATAGTTGGCAATCCTTGGCTCTTAAAGGTGTTTCAAAGCAACCGTTTTCTGCTTTGAATGAGCAAGATTGTATTAAATAGTGGATATTTTTAAAAGAATTGAGAGAAGGCGTACTGATATTTCTTATGATTATCTTATCTGAAAGGTGCTTTGTAGGTCGCTAATGAAAAGCGTGATTGCAAGGCTAAAATGTATCATTCACGTTTAAAAATGGTCCACCCCTGCTGCTGTGTTGTTTTATGCATTTTAGAATGAAAGGCAACATCTACTTTCTAATATAATTTTTTATTATAAACCTTTAGAGCTTCTAAAGAAGTATGTGGAATTCTGACATTCTTCTAGTCACTAGTTTTGGGTTGGATTAACTTCCATTTTATAATACTTCACTCTTTCAAAATAAGAAATTTAAAACATTTGTTCAACGTAGAATTGTTGTTACCTATGAACTATAAATGGAAAGCTATTCCATATTTTATTAATGCTTTGCATGCATTAGATAAATAAAGAAGAATTTGTCAAAGCACGATGTTCATTCCATTTAATAAAAACCACAATGCTGTATCATGTCTTCATCTAATTCAAAGTTCAGACCTGTGCTTTGTCCTTTGAGGATAAATGGCATTCTTATTTAGAAAATTGATCTTTTGATACCTTTGTTTTGGAACCTGTTGTGTTTCAAGGCAGGAGTTATTTCAGGTTTACTGATAAATATCTGTCAGATGAGTTTTGCAGAAAAATGAGCTCAGAGCTATTATGTGCATCATTCCAATAGTATATTCATCATATTCCTGCAAGCATACTAGTCAGCTTGTTATTCGTGGATTGTAATCTGCACTATTTCAGTGTCCCACTTATTAAGAATAATTTTCTAAGCTTAAAAGAGCACTTAAGGTTTCTAAGTCCAATTTTTAATCAGTGGGATGTAGTCCTTTGTGTGTTTTAAATGACTTTATAATTTTCTAAAGCCTACTATTTCTAGTCTATTAATTGGAAAACAAAATGGAAAATCAAGACTTTTGACACAGGACAAAGGACTACGATTTGTATGTTCCCATTGCAAGCTGTGGATTGGCAGTAACTCAACTGTCTGGTGTGCAGAGCTGTGATTATATCAAATATACTGATGTACAAAAGCAAGAGGTTTTGCCTTGAGGAGGAGGTACGGTATAATCTTGCATTGTTATTCAGTCCAAACTCCAGGTTAATTTTATCTTCCTTCACAACACAGAAGAAAATATCAGAGGGAAAACTGATAAGGGGAAAACCTTTTTCAGCAACTAAGAAATTACTACAACGGAGAAGGATAGGCAGCGAAAATTGAAGAAAGCAGTTGTGTTCTCTTAACGTTAATGGGAAATAAGCATTCAGCACTTGCTGTAAGCTGTTAACGAAATAAAACCAGTGGCCCAGATCATGGGTTGTGCTGCGGCTGTTCCTTAGAACACCGCTCTCAGACTCCGGTACCAGCTCCAGCCTCACCAGCTGTGGGAGGATGAGGTGATCAACCTCACAACGGGCACCGGGATTCCTTGTGGTTTAGAGATTGTTGTGCCTTTTCCCTCTCTCCTGCCATTAAGTATGACATTGCCAGGACTGAGTTAACTACTAGTCATTCGAACTCCCCCTGCTTTGACGTCCATCATGTGCTCTACGATATAGTACCCCTCTGATGCTCACAATTGCAAATAAACCTGGAAACAAATGAAGCGGGAGTTAATATTGTAATTACTGCATGAGTAAGCAGACAGCTTTGATCAGTACCTGAAAAAGATATGAACTGTTCCACTCAACTCAATGGGTTTTTTTGTTTTGTGTGTGTGTTTTTTTTTTTATTTGCTTGCTTGTTTGTTTTTTTGCAGCTGAAATGCCCTGTGATTTTTAAATATATTTCCTCATATGTTTACTCTGTGGTATGCTATGCATAATGTATTTGACTTTCTGTTCTTGAGGAAAAAAAAATGATATGGGATTGCTGATTCGATCCTATTAAGTTACTGAATAAATTAATCTTACTCAAAGAACAGTTGATTCTTTTTTTTTTTAACCTGAAGATGTTATTTCTCAAAAGGACAAGGTCAGTTTCTCATATCTCTTAACACTTAGATCACTTTATTAAAGTTATAATACAGAAAGGGTTTTTTTCTTATCATATTCCCGTTGCTGTATTTTATTGCTTCATTGTTAAGTGTAATTTTTTTGTATTATTTTCTTCATGAAAATTTCAGTCTACGTCATTTGATCTTAGCAGGACACCTTTTTTTTTTTTTTAATTTTTTCTCTTGAGCAGTGGCATTTCTTCCCTTACCTAGTAAACATTTCATTTTAATGTCTTAGTCACCCTTGTTTGCTTACTAGTGGCATAGACTGTTTACCTGACTAGGTAGGTAGGGAATTCTTCAGTTTAATTTCTTCATCTGAGAAGGATATAGGGAAAAAAATACATATCAAATTAACGTGTGATCTGCTTCCTCCAAGTATTATTTTTACATTTATTATCTGCATGAATATATTTTGATTTCTGCTGCCATGTATATTATTTTCATTTTTAATAAAGTATGTCAGTTTTTAGATTTTTTTAAAAGATTAACTTTGATTTTAGATTTTTTATTTATTTTTATTTTTGCTGTGGTTTTTTTTATTAGCACTTTGTCTGATACAAGAAAAATTAAAGGGTTTAAGCCGTCAGCTTTGTAACTCGTAACACTTTATTGTATTGTAATTTTTTTCTAAGATACAGTTATCACTGAGACATGTACATGAGAGAGAGAGAGAGAGAGAGAGAGAGAATACCTTGCCTTGGCATTTAGAATGGAAAATTTTGTGAAAATACTACTAAGAGAGGTTGCTTTAATTCATGATTTTTTAATTTGTTCGTCTAGCTTAGAGTTTTTATATTCAATAAGAGCACGAAATGGGGTATATACTGCTGTCTGAAAGAACAACGCACAGAAGTACTTGCAGGATTTTTTTTTTTTAATTCAGCATTTGTAATGTATTCTGAGAGATTCATAACAAAATAGAACTTTTGTTAACAAGATTGACTTTACCACTTGGAGACTTTAAGGCCACTGGAACGGAAGAAAGTAGATCAGAAAATAATGCTTTATCTGAATTCCATGTCAGAAGGGATGAAGTTATACTAAGAAAGTGATCTAAAAGAGTTGCCTGTTGTTCTCAATGTGTTGTAAAGCTATAAATAACCATGTAAAAAATGAACGTTTTCTTATAAAGAAAGTGCTTGTATGTAAAGAAAGAAGAATGCAGTTATATGTAAGTTATTGTTGCATCCTTTGCAAACACCACTAAACTCATGTTAAATAGAAAACAGTTCTTCAAAATTGATATTAATGCATAAATTAAAAGCTTCACATTAGTTTTCAATCAAAATCATATTCATAATAATACTTTTTGATTTTTTTTTCTTTTGTTTTAGCTATTGATGTAAATATGAAGAATGAAAGCCTTTCATCTGTGCAACAGCTTGGTGTTGAAATGACAGTCAGGTAGACAGTATTAAAATAATTCCCTGGTGTATTTGTAGAATTTATTTAATTTTCTTGGAATGACTTTAACAATATTTAATCCATCAACTCAGTGCTTTACACCATTTAAATCTAAAGATCATCTCTGAGAAAATGAATTCTAAGTCTCAAAATGAAAAAGGTATTAGTACATAATTAAATTATCTTTACAAATTATATAGGTTATTATTGTAGTAAGAGCTAATTGCAACTTGTTAGTAAGATCTACTGCTAAAATTACATTATCCTGAGTTACATATCTTTTTCTGCTCACATTACTTCTCTTAATCGCTCTGTTTAGTTAAGCTTAGTTATAAGCCGTTTACACATTTTATCTGACTGGTGATTTGCAGAGCTATGATGAAGGAGAAGTTAATGTGTCGGTAGTTCTGCAGATTGTTATCTTTAGCATTAATATTTGAATTCTGATGCTAGTAATTACACTTAACAAAAAATGCCTTCAGATGGACTTCTAAATAATATGCATGAAGAAAATGAATCATGTATTGTTACTCAGCCCACCACTACGTCCCCCTCCAATCTCTAAAAATTTTAACTGGGGAAATTTAACCAGAGTAACTTTTAAGGTGGTGAAATTGTAAAACAGAGTAGTAGATGTTCAGTATGTATCCCTTCTAAATAAAAAAAAAAAAAAGTTGCAAGTAAACTACTACAAATTTACTCGTATATTGCAGTGTACTATTTGTTAAGAACAGTGCTATGACTGCTTTACTTTCACAGGCCATTAAATATGAGTTTCTGCTTTTTAAGAATTTTAAAAAATACATTCAGCCTTTAAACAATTTTTTTTTATTTTTTGTGTTAGATATGGCAAATACTTAAACTTGCTAAAAGAACATGCTGAGAATGAGCTGTCCTTGGTGTTAACGAATTGTGAGAAATTTCTGAAACAGCAACAAGCAACTGTGGTATCCTCACTTTGTATCCTTTCTTGATGGCATGAATTATATTGCCTGAAAAATGCCAGTGGAGTTTGAACTCTCATTGTGTGTTTTTGATGGTGGTATAGACGTATAATATATTTTGAATGAAAAAAATGCACTTCTAGTGTGAAACTTTGTAAAGTTAAAATGCACACCAAATGCACTCATAAAGATCTTCATCCTTGGTTCCTATTCTTTGTTAAAATATCTTGTATGTCTCATTCATTTTTATCGTAAACCGTTTAGGGTAGGATCAAGTCTTTCTGTATGTAGCAAAGAGTCTAGAACAATGCAGCTTTGAGCATTAATGGGTATTTGTGGTATTCCCACAATGCTGACAGTGTTAATGATCTATAATGATCCATGTAATAAAATCGGTGATTGCAATTTGATCAGCAAGAATGTTTTTTGAGTTTTGACTTTTTACATTTACTGTGGAACTCTTTAAAAATAGAAATAGCCCTTTGCAACAAGTTTTACTACATTTTTATGCATTAAAATTACTACTACTAAAACACATTTCAAGCATATTAGTCAAAATATACTTCACCTTTTAAAGCTTTTCTTTTACATTCTTATTGTTTTTTCCTTAATTATCACAACTCCTGCTTTCCTCCTTTTCTACCATTTTCCTTCCTTTTATTATAAGGATTCTTGTTTTGGTGTATGTTTTTGGTTTATTTGTGTATTTACAGATTTTTGGGTTTTGTTTTCTTGATTTGGTTTGATAATTTAGGGATGACTGGAAAAAAGTAAAGAATATGAGGAAAACACCTTAAATCACTTCTGTTAATTCAGGTTTAGAGGCAGGTGTACCTCCAGACTTTTTATTCAGAAAGCTGTCTTCTGTGCAACTGTGTTCCCCATGTCTCATCTCTGACAAACCTTCGCTCTCTACATTTTGACCCAGGGAGGGAGGAGGGCTATATTTCTTGCATAGCAGTCAAAGGTAGTTCTTTGCTTCGGTTCCTTAACATATCATTAACACCTGCAGGTTGCTTGCAGGGAGCTTATGCTGGCTACGATTGGTTTGCATCTTCTGTGTTCCTCATAATGTCAGGAGACAGGGAGAAGACATTTACATTTCTTCAGCAATTTTCACGTCTCCTCATTTCAGCATTTCTCTGGCTACCAAGACTGCATATATCTGTAAGCATTTAGAAGCTGTTCTTTCTGAAAAGCAACTTGGAATATTTTTAAAGGACAGTTTATCAATTTCCTCAGGTATTTTTTGTTATGCATTAGCTTTTCATTAAAGCTCTCTAAGTCCATGCATGTTCCAGAAAAATTCTCTCAGAAAAATATAGGTTTGACATTTGCCTAAGTGGTTATTTAAAAGTAGAGAAAGAACAGGTGAACTGGTGGTAATGGCAGTGTTACTGCATTTTAAAGCTGGCAATAAAATAAACTTTGTTAGTGGCATTAAATTCTGTGTGAAAGCTGCAATACTGTTAAATGGCCTTTTTATTTTCATTACAATGTGGAAGTTTATCTTTTTAGCAGTAAAGCTATCAGTTTTGTGGATAAAAATATTTAAATGTATTTAATAATTTTGAAAATTGTTACTGCCCAAATTCTGGAATGCTTTGCAGTTTTAAGTGGTTAGTGTTTTCAGTCAAGTTTATAGTGTAAACAAATCATTCCATCTTTTGTTAGACCTGATACCATCTATTTAAAATAATAACCTTTCGGTTTAAATTTGGCATGCTATCTAATTGTTTTGGATTTAGACTACCAACTATAGTCTTTACTAGAGAGTTCTGGGATTATAAAAAGTCCAGATTAGATTCTATACCTCTTCTTCATGAAAACCTCTATATTAATTCTGACTGGTTTATCTTTTCACCAGAAGTGACTGTATTGGATCCACTTAGAGCACGGAGTCCAGTTCTGAGACTGTTCCAGCACAATGAAATTTTGCTCCATTGTGTGAATACAGTTGTGCTGAACATCATTGGTGCTGAGAACTCCAGCGTCATCTTCCTTACTAAAACTAGTTAGCATGGCAGACAGGTTATTGCAGTTCATTCTCAATACCTATACGGTTTGTCTTTTATAGTATATCTTGAAAACATTAAGAGAAAATTGCATAATCAGCCTATTCACTCTATTTCCACAATGTGAAATAAAATAAAATAAAATGTCAAAACATGAACGAGCAGTTATCCAGACGTTAGACTGTAATGCTGCCTACCTGGGAAAGAGGAAGGAGGATTTCCAAAGAGTGTACATAATTCAAAGATTCATTATGTAGAAACCAGACACTGACATCCATGACTTTCCACACTGATAAACCTTTTTTTCGTTTGCTGCACAAAATGGAATTTTACTTAATCCAGCCATGCATACCACCGAGAAGCTTTCACACAGAATATAGCTTTAGATACTACAGAAGTTCCACTCTTCACTCACCAGTAAAAGGGCAAAAGATTCTATTTTTTTGGGTTAAAGTATACCAACAGTTTCTGCATCCCTGCTTTGACAACTAAAGCATACATGCATTAGATTGCTAATGGAAAGGAACAGCTGGAGTATATTTTCTAACACTTTCTAACTATGGATTTTTCTTAAATTAACTACACGTTTTTTCCTGATGGTAGTACCAGCTTTTTATATATTTGCTTATTTTATTTATTCATGTATAAATAATAAGTACAGGGGATATTTTATCTTACTAGTAAATGTGTATTTTTATATTTTTATTAGCCTCAGAAAGGTATTTTAAAATAATACCTTTAAAATAAAAGGATTGTATTCTGCAATCCTTTTCACTGGTGTTTTTTTTTTTGTTAATCAGATGCACCTGCCTATTACCGCAGTGGAATCCGGTATCCACCCAGTCTATTTTTGCAGTGCTCACTACATTGAGATGTTGCTGAAAGCTGAGTTGCCGCTTGTCTTTGCTGCCTTCCACATGTCTGGTTTCACTCCATCCCAGGTAACTGATTAAAGCATATCAAAGTAACATTAACTGTTAGACTTAAATCCACAAAATCAAGGATGTTCAGAGTTAAAAATGACACTACTGTGCTTTTTCTATACAGCAAGCAAAAAAATTTGGTCAGAGTGAAATGATTTATGAATGATGTTTTAACCTTCTTCCACAGCAAACAAATTGTTATTAGTTATCAGTGGTGTTTGTGTGGTGGTTATGAAACTGGGAGTAAGAGATAATACTGCATGCAGAGTGACTCAGAGCATTTAAAAAGAGAAATCAGTTGATTTCATTAGAGTAATGGCAGTGTACTGCAGCTGATGATCTTCCATTACATGTTCATACGAGAACTTGATAAAAAATGCTAGATACTAAAAATTGATGGTTATAGAGAAAAATAATTAAAATGTCTCATTCTCTGGAATAATTTGCAAAATTTTTCATGGAATGGAAATGAGTAGTTGGGATAGTTGTATAGTAAGAAGTAGTTCAGTTGATGAGGAAAAGTTGTTTTCTATTGGCTACCACAACTATTGCAATCAGTTTGAAAAAATATATGAAAAAATTTTACTAGAGAAGAGTATTTCACCATAATGTTAGCTTTCATTTTCCCTTTTTATTACAGTGTTTTGGAAATACAGAATGCTGTGTATGGAGCATTGCTTGTAAAGACTAGTCATGGTGAAGCATGAACAGCTTCATCACCACAATAAGAAAGCTTATGGCTCTATTAAATTACTGTTCCAAGGCAAGAAAAATATTTTTCATTTTATGCCTGCAAAATAACATTTTGTCACAGGGTTTGCAGCTTAAGAGTGTTCGTAGTGGGGATGGATACCAGCATGTTGTTTACATGGCTTAAAAAGTCAGTTTGGGATTTGTGCTTTCAGGAAAGAAGAGCAATAAATGAGGGGTTTTATCTCAGCATAGGAATAATGAGATATTTACAAGGCTTCTGGTTTGGGATGGGAAAGGGGGACAGCCGTTTCCTTTCTTAGGTAGTCTTGTGTTAAGTTATCCTGTGTGCTGTTAACTTTGCGCTCACTTCATAGTAAACTGTTTACCGTTCTGAACTGCTAACAAAGTTTTATTATTGAACATGTTACTGAAGTGCCACTAGTGGGAGCCACTGTGATAAGCACTCAGCTCTATCTATGTGATTTTCCAGTTTTATTGGGAGGGGAACAAACAAGCCCCGAACAGTGAAAATGGCTCTAATGTGTTTAAGTGCCTGTGTACATGAATAAATAAATGAATGCAGATTTCATTGCAGAGTATGGCTACTGTCATCTAATTAGAATCTGGGTACTTTCTGCCGCTGCATATTTTTAAACATTTTAAGGACTGATTAGCAAAAGATTTGTGGTCTACAACTAAATGAAATGTGCTATACACTTCTTCATACATTATGAGTTAGAACTGGGAAAAAGAGTTGCTAAATGTGTTCCATCCCCATTTCATTAAATGCAAAAGTGCCTTAGGGAAGGGCCTAGCATTCATTTATAATGCAAATAACTGCTTTAATTTAAAGGAAAGTCTACATTAAACCCACCTTCATCACCGTCATTACCCTCTAGACCACGTTAAAAAAAAAAAGTTGAGAAAACTCAGCACATGAAGAATGACTGCTTTCTCTTTCATTGGACTTTGAGTTTTACGTTTCAGCTTCGAGTTGCCAGAGTATACTCTGGTGAGTGAGATGCACAGATGCAGGCTCTTCAATTTAGCAGAACTCATTGGCATTCTCTTCAGAGTCTGTGATTATTAAAATGGTGATTTTTTTTTTGGCTTCTGTTGTACTTCTATCCCTTTTATTTTCATAAGCAGTGGTCATTTCATAGAAAAAGGGACTGCAGTATAAAAAGTTAAGATATAATGCAGTTAAATTATGACTGAAAGTCTACAGCAATTTAAATGTATATAATTTCATTCTCATCTAGATCTGTTTACAATGGATAACTCAGTGTTTCTGGAATTATATGGACTGGAGTGAGATCTGTCATTACATTGCTACATGTATTTTTCTTGGTCCTGATTATCAGATATATATGTGTATAGCTGTATTCAGACACCTACAGCAAGACATTCTGAAGCACACTGAAGCCCAAGATCTTCAGGTTTTTCTCAAAGTAAGGCTTTATCTTTTAATCTTTCAATTGCTGAAGGGGAGCAAAACTCTCTGAACTGGAAATATATTACTTAATCTGAAGCACAGATTGGATTTCACTTATTGATTTTAAGTGAGTGAGCTAATACTTTAAGTTTATTTACTTCCTGGCAGGAAGCTGTAGTATAGTATTTTGCAGAGAATAGTATTTCTACGTATTGACCTGATCAGCACCCTTTGTAATCAATATAAATAGTCACATTAAGTCCCCAGGGAGATCGATTCAATTCTCTCTGTGTGGCCCCCCATCATATTAAATTAGGTGTTCTCCAGAGAGATGGGTTTACAAAGTGGTCTCCTACAGAGACTTGAAGAGATGAAGCACAAAGCATCTAGATTGTTTTGACCAGGTACCACATACTATACTGCTAGCCTTTCTTAGCTAATAGGCAATTGTATTCTGCTAGTACAATAAAACTGTGACACACCAACTGAAAAGAAGGTGAACTCTCAACTTAGAATCTGATTCAGATTGTTAAAATGTATGTTTTTATATGTTGTTTTTCTCTGTATTGTGCTCAATATATAAAAGCAAGTTGGGCTGAGACTAACATGCGTTTCTTTGATGTTCATGTTCTTGGCATAATGTATTTGATCCCACACACCTTTATATCAAAATGAAGTCAACAGTTACAGCAGTTCACAGCAAAATCTGTGATTTGATCTCTAATTTAATTATGGTGCATTAAGGGATTTATTATTTTGGGCATCATTGCATCCACTTTGAATCCACTGCATCATGGTAGACTTGAGATTGAATTCTGAAATTTATGGCAGCCCTGCATTTTGAAGGCTGTTGATATAATTCTTCTGACTCACTAATACTCAACCTCCGAGTTATTTCACCCTCCAGATTGTGTGCATATCCGGTTTTGCTTATTTTCCTTTTATGGTACTTTATGGGATTACTGTGGGTAGGTATGTTTGTGCAACAGGTGAGTATATATATATAAAGGATGTGATAAATTAATACTGACTTTTTAATTTTCCTATAGCTTAGGAAAATGGACATCATAAAAACTCTGTTGTTGTGGCTCGTTTGTTTGAGGCTTTTCTTCTTTGTTTTTGTCATTGCATTTACCATACCCAAGTGCACAGAACTGTTCAATGAAGTGAGTAAACATGGCCTAATAACAGTATTATCTTGCTATACCTTTCTTCGTAATGCATAAATAATATTGATTGAATCAAGATCAGCTAAGTTGCATTTGTGAAAGCAGTTGTAAAAAGAGAAGAAAGATGAATATACCAGTGTGATTTCCATTCTGTTTTTTGAACACCAGCTATAGATTCACCAGAGGAACTGTGCAATATAATATATGAAATTGCTCATCTCCTGGCTGGTGCTAGTTCTGAACAGGTAACTAATTCCTCAGAGGAGGAGGAGTCTCCATCTCCTGTGAACAGTATGGCTTATGCTATTGGTTCATCCAATAATTCATAAAGTTAATATCTTCACCATTATAATTAGTGTGGTTTGGATTTTTGCTTTTATTGGCCATCATTGTAGCAAATGACAAAAGTCAGGTGTTGAGGCTGATATAGCAGCAGTTCAATTGAGTGGAAGCTGTTGTTAATTATCACAAAAAACTGTTGACTACAAAAAGCACATTTTGACTGGCGGATGTGAGTGTGCGTGTGTGTGGGGGGAGAGGAAGGGGGCTCATATTTACCGTTGTAAAAAAATTAAAATCTCTGAATAACATGCTCTACTTCCTTATCAGCACTGGTTTGCCAATATCTGTGGGCAAGACATTTGGCTAATTATCAACAGCTGCATAGTTCCAAGCTCTTAATAGCAATAAGTTTCAGTGAAGTCCATAGTTATCGGAGAAAGTACGTGATGCACTCCATTATCGGATACTGTGCAGTATGGCAAAATGATTCATTTTTTAAAAAAATGAATTTCCACACAGCAAGCTCTCAGAAGTTCTCTTTTGTTTGGACTTTGAGCATGGTTGGCTGGAAGAAGCTATGGGATAATTTAAAAATATCTACGTAAGCAGCAGATGATTATTGTTGACAGAGCCTGCTTTGTGGACGATCTCTGCACTGTTCTGGAGTAGCTCTTGAGTCCCGCTCTCCTGCTGGTCCTGCTACTGACTTAGACAGGACACACACACTATAACTATATTATGAATTGACCTGTGCTCCCCAGTATATCAGCATAGTTGAGCGAATGTATCAACAATTTTGGTCCACCTCCTGTCCTGTGATGATGAAGTGGCTGGGGATGACTTGTGCTTTTATTAAACTATGAAACCCTTCTTATAAAATTTTAAATTCACCCTTTGATTATTGTGTGTAGAAGTCTCATAGTCTCATTTTTAAATACAGTGACAAATTCAAATAGAGGAGAAAATTAGGTCAGAAGCTTAATAGTGACAATAAATATTTACTACATAGTATGAAGAAGTTGGAGAGCTAAGCAGTTTGTTTCTCTTTGATACAACTCTGGATTGACAAAAGCAGTAAACAGTGAGGAATCTCCATTGACAAAAAACACCACAGTGTGAAGTATGGCTATTTTACTCATTATTTCTCAGACTAATACCCTTAACATGATACAAAAATGTTTCTAAGAAGGATACATTTTTCTCTTTTGAACTATCAAAACATTTATCGCTATGTACAATTAGAATTTTTGGTTTTTTGGAAGTGAGGATTAAGCCCTTTGTTCCCAGTTTTGCTCTGTTGACCCGTCACCTTTGTCCTTGAACTATTACATTGTACTAGATACCTACTAATGATGTTGTGGAAGTAAATTTGTATTCTGGAAATCTAATTTCAGTTAACACTTAAAGAGGAGCCTTTTATTGAATGTTTTGAGTGAAAATAATAGCTAGATGTGAAGAAAACACAAGCTAAGACAAAGTACGCCATATATTACATGGGGACCAGCAAAGATGGTAATATTATGAATTACACTATCAAGCATGCTTGTAACTTAGTATCCAAGATTCATATACACCGAACATTAATACACACATATCAAAAAGATCCAGATTATGGTGGCACTGTGATCAATGTTACTAGAATGTCCACAATTGCAAAATATTTTGACTGAATTGCAGGCAGTTTCAACATTTTAATATTTTTTTACATCTAAGGATTGTGCAGTTAATATCTGTTTAAAGCTTCTAATGAAGTGAGGGATTGTTTCTATAACATTCAAGACATTTTCTTTCCCTCACAAGATAATTCATATTCTTTACTGTTTTATGAGTTATATTCAATTATTGGTTTCTTTTTTCAGAATACTATTTAGCTGTACATGAAGTTGTGAATAGATGCAAATATTTGAATCTTCCTTCACGGGATATTTTGGGTATTTTTTTCCTCCAGTGTTTTTTTTTTTTCCTCCAGTCAAAATTATTTTGAAAACACATCTGTGTATCTTAGTCTCTCTTAACAACACTAGTTTTCTGACTAGTTTGTGTCAGACCTCTGTATTCTTAAATGTAGCTAATATATCAGCTCAGTCACTTTGCTTGAAAACGTTTGGTATGCAGTCTAATGAGAACATAATTTTGTTTGACCTGGTTGTGGTCAGTGTAGCTTAAAAACTACTTAATCTTGATGGCATTATCAGGATAGTTGATGTGAATTACTTTATAGAAGACAGAATTTGTGCATGCATAGTATAAACAGGCCGAAGATTTGGCATGATACTGTTAAAATTAATAAAATAATATATTATACATTAGTACATTACTGGAGTAGTTACAATTCATTAAGTAACTGCCATACCTGGAGGAGTTAATGACACACTTGAAGAGTACCCTTGCTGTTCATAGCTCTTAATTCATCTAAAGAAGAAAAAAAAAAATCTGTCATTTTATTCATTATTTTAGCTATATTATGGGTTTCATAGGTGGTTACTTGGTTTTAATGCCTGCAGTGCCATTGGTCAGCTACTATTTTGTTGAAATACACAAATTCAGAGTTGAGTTTTAGGCTATAATTTCTCAGCACAATATTCACAAGTGCTGATTACTGTAATGAAGCAGTTCTCTCAAACATGGATGTCTAAACTATGTTGAAAACAAAATCAATGTTAAAAAAGCAACCTTGAATATTCATTTTTTAATGTATCTTGAACTTACTAGCAGTGGTCATTTGCTGAATGAACAAAAGTCCTGCTCCCTATTTTCTTTCCAAGCACTGATGATTGTTTCTATTTAAAAGATCCCAACACGTATTATATCCTTCATGAAAAAGTGATGATTTGACAGCATTTCATCTTTAATGCTGTTCTATAATGAGTAGTTATAGATAGCTATTAAAATTTAAAAAGAAATATTTTCCTCTTAAAATGTAAGTATCATGTCATTTGCACATGAAAAAAGAAGCTGGAGACAACTTTACTTTAAATTCAGATGATATTATGCCTAACACTTAAAATGGGTAAAACAGTCACCCTTTCATCCTGTCCTCCTAGAGGCAAAAATTAGAAAACAAACAGTAAAAGAGATTTTGTATTACTCTATAATTTGCCTTTCCTATATATCAAGAGGAAAGTAGAAGTAATGAATTGTCAATGAATTTTTTCGTTTCCTCCCTTTGTCAGGCTCTTTCTAGGAGCCAGGATGGGATAGCATCAGTTCTGATCCCTTTGAGATATCTTGACATTTCAGTATTAACTGAGTGCTACTTTATTGCTGAGGTCTTTTATTGATCCTTCTATGGAAGGATAAAGCTTTAGCATTGCCACATAGAAACCAGGAATACTGTAACCTACTGCCTAAGTAAACCCATCTTGACTGTCTTGACTTCTTTGGTTTACTGTTGCTGGTTTGGACAAAAGAGACTATTTGTAATAGCACGTGCCACCACAGTATATCAGTCTCCCCTGGGAATAATTTAACTACTTTTCACTTTACTTTCTGTGGATATAGGTCATATTATTACCAACTAAATTGTTGACCGATGATATAATCTATGCACATGCTTAATACAGGAATTGACTGCCACACACCCACACAAATCTACTGCAATCCTCAGTCAGTGTTCTTCTCCAGGGCTGTCATCTGTCTCACAGTGCCCACAGTGCAACTTAGAAAGGAAAATCATGCCCTTGCTTGCACTTGTGCGTAAAGCAGGAAAAATATAAAGCCATTCTCAAATTCCTGTTCAGAAACTGAGGTGCAGGCTTCCAAGAGGAAACTGATGTTCTTAAGAGAATGCTACTTAGAGAGATGGCACAGCTCATACAGCAGCACATACACTGTGCCAACAAGGAGTTTCTCCCTCTTAGGGGCTTTTTGCAGCACATGCGACCAGCAGTGGTAATGCCGCTTAGTAGATGGTGGGCACACACATTTTTCCTGTTCAAAGCAGCAACTAAATACACCACAGTTTTAGCTAGGCTCTTTTCAGGATTCTGCTTTCTGTTGTGCATCCACCAGAATCCCTTCTTCCATCCTCTGATATATCAGCCACAAGGAAGAAAGTATCCTGTCCATTTTGTGCCCTGGACCACCTTCTTCTACTCAAGGTTTTGGAATCAGTAAGAATTACTCTTTTGTGATGATGCAGAAGTGTTTATCATGTTTGTCTTTAAGCACTTTGTAGAGGTCTTTCTTCACCACAGGTTTTAAAAATAAATATCTACTGCTGCTGTCCTGGTTTTATTGAGAAACTAATTGGATATAAAAGCCACACTAGCGAACTTTAAAAGGCCATGTGCTAGTATAAAAAAAACCCTTTATCTTAATATCTGAGTTTGCCTTTTTAAAGCTTACTTTGTTTTCCTTAAAAAATCTTCATATGGCATATTCTCCAAAAAGGAGATGAACAAATTCCATCTGAAAAGGCTATTTGTTACCCAGAGTGTAAATAGGAAGAACTGTCTGGAAGTAGGTATACCAATTCTTTATTTCGAAATGGAATGTAGTAATATGTGTATATTTTAAACACTCAGGCAGTGACAAGCAAAACAAAATGAACTATCTTCAGCAGCCTGGAATTCATTAAGTTTGAGTCATGCATCTTTTTTTCCTAGCTAAGAAATGTTTTCTGTGTGTATTTGTGCAGGAAGAAGCCCTCCATGGATTTCGAGTGAGTGATTATTTAGAATACATGAAAAGCTTGGAGCCAATCTACAGGCCAGTGCTGCTGAAAGACATGAGGAACATCAGAGTACAGAATGCATAGATAAAGCAAACAAGCATGTTACTTTCCAGTTTTGGTTACTTTCTTTAAAAGGATGCTGATTGTTTGATATATTGAGCTTCATAAAAATAAGTCCAGCTATGTTCTACTACTGTAAAATAAATACATACTGTCAAAAATATATGTTCTGCAAGAGGACTTCATCTAAATTGGATGACCTGAAACAGCATATTCTCCCAGATACTCTGTATCCACAGCCTTGTTTTCATTTGGCAGAAAACAGCTTCAGAACTTAGCTGTAGATTGCTAAAGTGTCTTGTTTATAATGGCTGGAGCCTGCTTCCAAAGCAGTGCATTATTTTCATGTGCTTGGAGCACAGTCTTCCTTCATATTTTGTAAAAACCTGACAAAGTGATTTTTTTCTTAGAAGCAACTCTAGGTTTGTGCAGGAGAAGTGAACAAATGCAAAACAAACACCCTGTATGCAGCAGTTCTGATTTGTGGATAAAGTTGAGAAAATGAGGTGACCAGCTACATGTAATGAAATGTCCCCACTCCTTTTTTTAAATAAATCAGTTTGTCGTAAGCAGCTATTTGTAACTTACGCTCTCAATATGTGGAAGTGAAAGACAAGGCCCTGAGCAGCCTGGTCTAACTAGACCTGCTTTGAGCAGGAGGTTGGACTAGAAGACCTATGGAGCTGCTGTTCATCCTACATGGGTCTATGACTGTAAAATAACAAAAGCTGTTACTGTTCATGCTTTTTACTTACCTGTGCTTGATTAAAGTTAGGATAATTATCATCACCTTTGGTTTGCTGTGCAAACCTACTCGGAGGAGCTTGTATTCCTAGTTTGCCTGAGATTCATCTCCTGTTTTTCCTTCTGTTCTGCACTAGCACATTTGGAAGACAAAGTTAGGTGTTTTTTTTTTTTTTTTCCCTAACACTCTGAGACAAGACTGGGTCTAACTGAAATCTTATTTTCACTGTATGTGTTTATATGGGCTGCAACGTGGGTAGCTGGTTTGGGTTTTCTCTCATTAAGGTAACTACAAAAAGATTCTCTCTATACTTGCAAACTGGTCTAGCAGCATGCATGTTGCCTGCTCAGAGGCTACGCAAGTATGTACACATTCATTTGCATATAGAGAAGATAGATAAGTAAATTAATTAACAGATGAAGAAAAATATTACTTCCAAATATTAGTACAATTTTTATATCATTTGCATTTCTAAAGTAATTTGAATTTACTTTGCACTTTCAGTTATTTGTATCTTGTTTGTGTTTTCTTCTTTCTAGAGCAGCTGTTAGTTTTCTGGTTTGAGATCATGTCATTTTTTCCTCTTTAAACTTACTGCTAACACTGAAAATTCCTTCCTTCCTTACAGAGAAGACTGAAGACATTTGGGATTTCGGCCTTAACTATTTATTTGTGCACTGTAATTTTTAATACTTGCCGTTTTTTTCTTTTTCATTAAAGATATCCCTAAAACTACTAGTAGTCAGTAATAATTATGTACTTGAGTCACTTTTTTCTAAGCTAAAGCGTTATGAACGAGAAAATACATTTTGTAGCTGTTTAGAACATTCTCCTCCCCCCCACCCCAAAATATTAGATCTTTAAATTAATAAAAACAAAATAAAATTCCTTGTTCTTGAGAGCAGTTGGACAGTGGGAAAAAAAAGTTGCGAAGACTTCCATCTCCACCTCTCATATTCACAGTTATTTTTATTGTTTTATATCTCAGAAAAAAATGATGCTTTTTAAAGAGTCTGTTTTCCTTCATAGCAGACAGGGAAGCGGATAAGAAGCTCTTTCTGTGCTTGCCTTTCATCATCAATGAAATGCAAGAGTTAAGGCTGCTAGATATATTCTAACACCATTGCAGTGTAGGTAAAATTTCCACACCAAAATTTCCCTAAAAGAATAAAAATAAATTTCACTAAAATGAATATTATTTTAAAAATTAATAATACATTTGTGCACAAATTTATAGTTGTCTTCCTGGATCCAGTTTCAAAACACCAACCAAGATGTTGGGTCAATAAGTAAGTTATACTCAATTTAGTTATATTATTTTCCTAAAATAAATACTATGGTTGACATGATAGGAATTAGTAGGATTGCATTTGATTGATTGAAATGATGGCCTGTAAAATGGTAGTTATTAGCAAGCAGGAGGGCTTCCTTCAGCATTTCAAAGTAATCAAAGGCTGTATGTAGGTGGACAACAACAAGGTATCATTCCTGAAATCTTTCAACATTTTTCATACAGTCCATCAGATCTATGTCAGAATTTCAAAAAGAAAATGCCAAGTAGAAATCTAACCTTTACAGTGACTGGATGAGTTTAGATGAAAGGTAGACATTTAAGATAATAGTTTATTAACTAACTGCAGAACTTCATAATTGCATTTAAAATAGCCTGAAACAAGAACAGTAGTTTAAATTTATTCCTCAAATTTGTTATAATAATATCTTGAAAGAGGGTGGGGCTGGGGGGGAGGGAGGGAGGGACAGTGTGGTCTGTTTGGTATATAGCTCTGATAATGGATTTCTTCTCCAGTAAAGAGAAAATGTGTATAAGACGGAGCAAGTTTTCTTTGCAAGTACTTAAGCCAGAGGTCTTTTATCTTAGCATTCACTATGGACATTCTTTCATGTCCCCCTTCTCTTCATACTGCCTCCACCAGAGCAAAAGTGGGTAAAGCACTTCCTATCCATTGCCAACCAAGTTGAAGCTGCCTCTCCCCCTCTCCTCCCCTCAGTGTTTGTAGACTGCATATTTTCTTTACTTTCCTTTTTTTTTTTTTTTTTTTTTAAATCTGCTCATTTCTGCTACATTTTGTAGCCTAGTTTTGGCCTCTTTTCTATTCAGGACTTTTCATCTATGCTTCCAGGTATTCGCTCAGTAGACAAGCTAATTTCCATTTCTCACAACCTCCATTCTACAATATTGTTTCTTCTGTATTAAAAGAGGCATTATGGTGATGCGGACTTTCATCTGCTTTTTGCACAGTAGAATCTTCTGATTTCAAGCTCTGCCTTACAAGCATACCATATTCACTTTCCCACATTCACTGGCAAAGCTTGTTCCTACACATGGATCAGGCTACAGAAAAAAGTTTAGACTCTCTTCATGTCCATGTTAGAGGGATTAGCTCAGTCTACAAGGCTAGGACATTGGCTTAGAAACTTTTAGGAGCATCACAAAGCAATATTGTCCATTCATGATTAAGACACACTCACCTGTTCTGCCTCTCTAATCTCCAATCTGCAGCATCCAGGAGTAATAGGTAACATTAAAATTACAAGTTTGTAGTTTATCCTGCAGCATTTTTAACAATCTAAAAAAATGTTATATTCCTGTACCATTTTACTGAGGATTTTAGTGTTTAAATTCTATAGAGCAGAGCTGTCTAAGACAGAAATACAAATAGATATTTTGAACCAGTCATCCTGGACTGCGCTGGGTGCAGAAGTGGCGTGTGTTGCGTGCTGGTGCTCACAGCCTTTCCCTCAGAGCAACAGTAATGATGTGCTGAAAATACTCATTCATCCCTACAGGTAGCTTTGGCTGGTCATCTCTGACTTTGGTCTGAAGGCTGGGTTTTTCTTTTGTAATTATTTGACAGAGCTGGTCTTCTGACAATTTGCTCTGCTTTAGTCATTATGCTCTATAAATACCAGCATATTTTACTACTCAACATTTCTCTAAAGTTTTCATGCAGTGCCACTTCTTACCTGGTCATTTTCTTCTTTCTGGGGTTGTTCAAAGGTAACATCCGATTCAGGGGATCATCTTCATGCTGGTGGCAAATGGGAAGAAGCAGGTACAGAGGTTGCTCTGTGAGGAAATTTCTGCTATAATGGTTTCTGGAGTACCCAAATCTCACATCTGAAATATTGAGGGAGATGAAGGAAGAAATAGGTGAGAACTGTCATACTAAAGCGAGCTGTCAACAAACCAAATGTTGTTCAAAGCAGTCACACAGGGGGATTCAGAATGTGTTGTAGTAGATGTAGAGTTGGTTTTAAATGCTATGTTCATTTTAGCATGTTTTAAAATTATTTTGCAAAAAATTTGTTTGCGCCCATCATGTGTAAAGCTCTTGCAGCAGACTTAGCCAGTAAAACTAGTGGAAGAGTAGTTAGGTGTCCTGGACTACAACTGGATAACATTTTCCAGATTATCTATTAACAATTAGGAGCTAGAGCAGGACCTAAAAAGGCTCAGAGGTAATCTGGATAGGTTCCAGACTCTTGGGAGTTGTGAAGAAAGTCACTAAGGAATTCTACTCTCATGTGGTCAGCTGGCTTGCTAGCAGCTAGTTGTTCAATGACTATCATTTTCTCTTTGTGTATTAGAGGTGAGAAGCAGTCTGCTTCCAGAAGTATCACAATGAGTAGGGATATGTTAGCTGAAAGTTGAGTTAATGGAATAAAGCAAGTGTTGGCTTTTGTGGAGATTATGCATAGAGACTTGTACTATAATGTCATCTCTAGACTCCTCACGCCCATGCACAGACTTTTTTAATGCATTTCTGCAATGCATGCTTTAAAATAGTCATTCAGAAATTCAAACATAACAGAAGCATGCTCTCATCTAGCCTTGCCTTGATCAAGGCTAATCCTGTACTTGAGTTTACAAAGTCTTTCCAAGAAAAATGCCTTAACTTTCATTTAAGATCTTAAGTTCCTGCATTACAACTTGTGGTCACTCTCTATCTAGCAGCATGTTCAGTGGCTGGCATCTAAAAAGACGTTGCAATTGAATGAAGTAAAAGTGCTACTCCATAAACAACAGAAAGTGTTAGGTTATTGCTACATATGAAGGTATAAAAGATTCTTTAGTATCATCAGTATTAAGTGCCTAAATAGCTTTTCAAAATGCAAAACTCTTTTTGATTTAATCTTTGGCAATAAACTTGTTCCCACTCTGAGATACTCATTTTTCCTGTGTACATTTGCATCAACCATTCTGAAGTTTCTTGAAATTCTTGCCCCTTCCTCCTCCACAGCCATGGAGTACCTAAAAGGTAAATACTGAATCTGTTGTTTTATTAGGAGATCTGTCGTTCTATGGACTTCAGTTTAGTTTCACCCAAAGTAATAGTTGCACTGTTTCAATGTAAAAACCAAATACCCTACTCTGTAAGTCTCTTTGAAGAGATTTTTCATCTTGGTAACACAGAAAGTTGGTAAATTGTCCTGTACCTTGTACTATCAGACTTTCAGTACCTTGACGTTTCTGATGACATTATTGCTTCTTAAATCAAGTGATACAAGATTCAGTTGCTCTACCAAAAAGGTTACTTATCGTCTGTTTCTTGTAGGTCTTTCTTTATTCTGTAAAGTGTAAGTAGCCAGCATAATTGTTCAAGTGCCTTCTGTAGATAGTTTAATAACTAAGCAGTATAAATTCCCAAAACAGATCCCAGTTATGTAGGCAACATTACTAGGCAATATTACATAGGAAAAGTTAAGCATTAAGCAGTTTATTTGGTTAAAGAATTAGGAAAAATATGTGATCTTATCAACACCTGCAATAATAATATCTTTACAAAATGTTTGGATTCTCAAAATATTTTAATTAGAATTTTTGATACAACAAAACAAGCATTTAAATAAATTCAACAAAACCCACAGATGTTGAATTTAAATGTATCCAGTATCATTGCCACACTTTGCTGTGAAAAAAACTAAACATTACTGCAGAGTTCTTGAAAAATAACTCCACTAGATAAAATGAAGTGTGAACACATACACATATTCAAATTATAAAGTACCTGCACTAAATTTTTTGTAATTATATGTAACCTAAGAGCAAGCAGTACTGACAGAGGTTTTACCATTGATTTCTATTTTCCTGACTCTGAGTTTCCAAAGTTCATGGGTATAGTTTACTGTTGAGAAAAGAAATGGTTTAAATATTTCTGGACTTCTGTGAACTGTGTTGGCTTACCTACATTGGTAAAAGAGGCTAGCAAGTACAAGGAAAGAATTATGACAACAGTTGATGGAACCGAGTGTTTGCCTGAAACCAGGGTCAAAGAAAGTTAAGACTCTCATAAAATCTGTATTTTGAACTGTAATAGCACTCTTTTTTTGAGTATCATAACTTTTGGGGGAGATATTTCTCAAAACATACCCAAATGACAAACATCCAGATGGTTAATAAACACTAGAAAGCTTATATATGTGTTTTTCAAAAACCTATAGATTTTGAGAGAGACTATGGTGGATGGCATTTAAGCTCCCAGTTATAAAGCCATCAATTCCTTTATCAGCAGCGGGAAAACTAGCTCTTATGCTAGGTATTTGGGTAAACCAGGGACTCTTACCAGCTAAATAGCTGGCACTTTGTATTCGTCATCCTTTAACAAAAAAAGAGATAGGCGCTGCAGAGATGACCCTTAATACCAACGACTTCCACCAATATTATATCAAATCAATGCGAAGAGGTACAGTGC